GACATACATCACAAAAAGACAATTATGATTTATCTATCTTTTACTCTTAGCATTAAATTCTACTATTCTCCAAATGATTTTCTAAGAGTTAATACTAAACATCAAATAAGCGAAATAACATGGTAACTACCTATCTATATCAATAGTTATTTTCTTAAAGGTTATGAAAATCAACTAGTGACAAGTATAAATAAGCAAGGGGAGCAATTTCGTTTTAACTATTTAAAATTTTATTTTAGCAAATGATGAGCGTTGAGAAAAATTGACTTAGAAATAATAATAATAATTAGGTAATATATAAATAAATAAGGTAATATAGAAATAAACAGAGGTCCGCAAAGACATGGTTGAGTGGTTAAGAGGTGAGTCTGTGGGAGATCTGAATTTAGCTTCTCATTCATGAGCTCGTCGAATGAGATTTGTCTAATACAGGTTACATTTTATGTGTTATTTACGAGTTATTGCACATTGAATATATCAATACTCACCCCAAAAACAAAGATCGTAAATCTCTAGAGGATTCGAAAGAAAATAGATAGAGGAAGAAAAAAATGAAATCTCATGGCTAGATATGAAAATTTGATTTTTTCTTCTTCTTAGAAGTTAGACCTTATAAATTAATAATTCTAAGAATGAATACTTAAATGAAGCACAAATCATTATGGTGGAACAAATAAAATCTTATATATATATATATATATATATATATTATAGAATCTACATATAAAATAAAAGATGAGCATGGAAAACAACATAAAATCGAGAAGGTCAATCCCAAGCAACTAAATTTCTACTTTTGCGAATTTTCTCAATAGACATAATGAAAATATAATTCAAAGTTGATTTGATCGCTTCTTCATGATCGTTAATTCACATTTACATCGGACCTCGCTTTGCAACGAGGGAAGGTCAGCATCAAGATTAAAAAGAAATTGAGGTTTTTAACTTTTTTTTTTAAGGTAAGAAAGTCACTTTGTGACTAATGTCTTGCTTAATTTAGAAAATAGTACGTAATTAAAATGCGTGTCCAATTCGGCTTGAAAACCTATAGAATTGTGATTTGAAAAAATGTTACTTTATCATAGCACTAATTATTGTACCTCATTTTCAGCAAGAGAAGTTAGATTCTGAAAATTTTAAAATAAATTAACAAATATTGAGCAAATTAAGAAATAATATTCTTTTCGTCCATGTTAACTTGTCTAATATTGACTATACATTCCCGGAGGATCAATAATATAATAATAATTTTATAATATATATAGTTAACTAATAAGAATAAATTAGAAACTTGAATTAGAATTTTTGACCAAACTGAAATATTATCTAAATCAATTTATCAAAATAATATATTTTTCTAAAATTTTACAAAACTAATATAAACGTAGTTCACAATAACGTTTTAGAGTATATTTCGTTTTTTAAAAACTAACAGCGTTAGGTTGATATACGTTACTGTAAGTAACGTTTTAGGAGTAAAACGTTATTTTGAGTAACGTTTTACTCCTAAAAAGTTATTGTGAGTAATACTTTAGGAGTAAAACATTACTGTGAGTAACGTATATCAATTTAACGCCGTCAACTTTTAAAAAATAAAATATACCCTAAAACGTTACTGTGAAATACGTTTATACTAGTTTTGTAAAATTTTAAAAAAAATATATTATTTTGGTAAATTGCTTTATATAATGACTTAGATTGATCAAAATCTCCTTGAATTAGCTCTTTATTTTTAGTTATAAGTGGAGAAGTAAAAGTGGACGATGGCATAGGCGGAGCCGTGATTAAGAGTTTGGAGATTCTAAATTTTCTTTAAAACTGTCAATTAATTTTGTTAGAATCTCACAAATTAATATACATATATATGTTTAACTAATTTTCTAGTACAAATACAGAATATATGAAAAAATTATTGGATAAGCTTGAATCCACAAACCTCCACCTAGCTTCACCTTCGTGGACGAGTAAATAGTAATGTCATGAAGTTGATGCCACCAAATTATTAACGTACCATATATGGAAATTAAAAAAAGTCATAAGATGAACATACGAATTAGCCCATCCATATATATATGATATACAACCAATGAAAATTTGACATTTCTCAAAAATAAAAAGCATATGGGAAAGAAAAACAAATCAATTCCCATCGATCATAGTTTTGTTCCACGATTTTATAATGTTCCATATTCCAATCTTGATGTAACAGTAGTAAAAAGAAAACGAACATCTAAAAAGAACATTATATTATAAGCACATTAAAACGATACTCTAATAATAAAATGAATTTTAGCATATGTGTCACTTTCGAATTGGGTAAAGGACCATAAGGTGATGACATGATGATATAAATAGTTACGAATAAGACGTGAAAAATCACTATACCAAATCCTTTGGCTTAGAGCACATTTTAAATACCCAAAGTTGATAAAGTAGTATAAAGGAATTTGGGAAGGAGTTAGTCACTTTCATGCATGAGGACCCAAACATACCGCATGCGGAATGGATGAGATTCCTCTATTCTTATTCAAAAATAAGAAACACTTCGATCTCTTTTATAGATCTTATATTATAATATAATATTAACAGACTACAAGGAACTCAAGTTAATATTATAATATAATAATTGAGTGCATAATCAAATAATATTTATTTGCAACGTTCAGAAAGAAACTATTGAAGTTACATAAATTCATAATCAATCCTCTAAATCCGCCTCTGTGTTGGACTAACTATGAATACCAAACATCATATTATTATATCGAATATGAGAAAAAACTATGATGTAGAGAAGGAAGTATCAAAGGCACATGTAAGTAATACTATGTTAAGTAAAGTTCAAAGTGAACTTTCGATTGAGTTGTTTTTTGCTTGACTTTGAAGTGTGTGGGTAAGCAAGAAAAATTAGGCAAAAGAGAGAAACAAAATTCTACTTACATACTTAAAAGAGTGAGGTTAGGCCAATTTGATGAATCATAAAAGCTTCTTCCAACTCTAATTGCTAAGACAAATTAGGGTTTTGTATTAATCATATGTGGCCCCAAACTAATCCATCTATTTAATACCAAACTATATGATTGATTTTTCACGCATAATCATCATTAATTACCCAAACCTATTAAGACTACTTGGTGTTTGTTTTTGTTAACTAACACATGCACTTTAGTGACGCTAAATTCTTTTATTCAAGGGAAAAGGTAGGTATTGTGGTAGCTCGTCAAATATAATTATGACAAATTCAAAATTCATAAACTCTATAATTTTGACTATATGTAGTTAGAGATGAGAAATTGCACTTCTATTAAGATGAGAGAGGATAAGGAAAAAGTAGGACAAAATTTATTCACGCTCAATATTTGTATAGGATAAATTTATTCACGCTCAATATTTATATTAATATTGTAAGTATAAGATATGTGTATTTACGTAAATCGTTAATTTATTGATTTGGTTAGACTTTTATTCAATATACTTTTAATGTTTTCAAATCATGTATAACCAATTTATATAACTTGATTGACCTTTCTATTCATCATCGTTATGTTTTCAACCACAATTTTTCATGATATAGTACTAAACTTGTGTAACGAACCCAAATTCGGAACACAAATACTCAAGTAATATGTAATCACTGAAAGCTAAATTATGACAATAATACTTCAACTATAGAATTTCAATGGAAAATAATAAAATTACTACTTTCATCCATGTTTAATTGTTATGATTTTTATTTTTAGAGTCAAATTATAAAAACTTTGACTAATATTTCATATTGATATGGAAAAAATTGTAATTTATCGTACTTTTCATATAGTTTTTGAATATCTAAATTTCATGTTAAAGATATCGATTTAATGTAATCTAATTTAACTTTAAAAATTAGTCAAATTGACTTTCGAAAAGCGCAACATGACAAATAAAAGTGAACAAGGGAGTAACAAGTAACTAAAGATAGAAACAAGAACGGAGATAAGAAGCTCAGATTCTAGAAGAAGACATGAGAAACAAATGATTTCTTTCACAATAAGCATAATCTCTCAAAACCGCAGTTATAACCCTTTTATCTCTACTCAACCTGGATCCCAAGCAAACCTATTATTGGTCTGTCTTATTCTTGGGCCACTTCGTGGTTTAGCCTTGGACTCAATAACTTGTCTACCCTCTCGGCTATCCGTGATCACAAGTTGTAAGGATTTTTTTTAGATATATAGAGAAGAAAATTTATGATTTAAATTATACTTGAATAAACTAGAATTTGTTAGGCTTTGTGTTGTACTTACTTTTTCTTTCCTATTTTGGAGTTTCAAAATTCAAACCAAACCAGCAAATTCTTTGGGATGCCATCCTGGCCTATGTTTTAATAATAATTGTGTTTACTTTCTACTTTCTACTAACAAATTATTGGTTTGTCTCTAACCTTGATCCTATTAATTAAATTATATACATAAGAAAGACATTAAATAAAAAGTACACAAGTTAAACTAATGAATTAGAGAAGGATGAATTTGTTGAATTATTTATATAACTTTGAACAATTTCCATGTTTTGATTCATAATGATATATAAATTTAACATACTTATCAAAGTCATATACCAATTTTATTAGTATGAATGTAATGAGCTTCGTTTTATATAAAATTCATTATTCAAATAAAAATATCTTATTAAAAAATTAAAGATATATTTATCACTTCACCGTTAATAGAGTTATCGGACTCTGAGGGAACAGGGTTGAATTTAATAATAGTAATATACGGAGCATGCACATCTGTAAATCACGACGCCATTATTATATTACTGCTTAATCTGCGATTTGTAAGGCGTGTGATCCCAAAAATAATCCAGATTAATAAAATATTAATCCCCACGCGCCCATTATTAACCACTCCAATTTCCTTAATCCCAAACTTAAAAAATACTCCACGTAAACCACGTGTCTCCCTATAAATGCGAGTACACAACACAGCATAAACCAGGCGATTTGTTTTCATTTCTCATCTCCACTAAACCTTTTAGATCCTCTCAGCATACCTCCCCACTCACCATTTTTAAGTTTAATTTAAACTACCTCCATTTTAATTTATTTGATATAAATTATGAAGATTAAGAAAAATAATTCATAAATATTTGTGCGTTTGTCGCAATGATAAAAAAAAAAGAGTTAAATTTTAACTCTTAAGTGATATAAATTGGGAAACAGCGAGTACTAAAGTGCGCCTGGGGTTACAGTGCGCACCCTAATCTTCATCTTCCTTCCTCTCTACCTCACATCACAGTAGTCTCTGTCTCTTTCTATGGCTTTCACTTTCACTCTCACTCTCTAATAATAAATAAACCCAAAATATTTTCAAACCATACTCACTTTACACTTCTCTCTTCCCTCCATAATCACTTAGGTTTTGTCATTTCACTCGTTTAGTGTTAAATAAAATTCACACTAATCCTGGTTTGTATATAACTGTGAATTGTTAAAAAATGGATCCACCAATTATTAATGAAGGTTCATTCTCGGCGGCGAATCCTTCTTCTTACAGTTTGGCTGAGATTTGGCCGTTTGCCGCAGCGGCAAATGGTGGAGGAAACGGTGAACTTGGTGGAGGAGGACTGGGACTCAGAATGAGTAGCTTTACGGGTTTGTTAGAAGCAGCTGCAAACTCCATTAATGAATCTACTCTGACGGAGCAGAGCAGAAGAAGCGGCGGAGCTGGTGGTGGTGATGGTAGTGGTAGTGGTGGAGGTAATGTTGGTGTAAGGAAGAGGGATGTGAACTCGGAGGATGATTTTTCTAAGTTTGTCTCTACTAGTGATGCTAATGATTTGGTAATTATACTACTAACTTTTATTTAATTCCTGATGTGGATGGATTACTGTTGATTTGACGTTGGAAGTTGTTGAATTAGCATCACCTTGATACCTAATAATTTAAAATTTCTCGTTGAATTGAGCTACTTTTACATGTTAATTATGTAATTTGTTATCTAAACCAGATTCATTCATCCTAATTGGTGTAGATGTCAAATCAAACATGTACTAACCAAATCCTGGATGTATGTGCTAATTGGTTATTTGCTTTGTGAACAATTTTTATTCGGTTCAACTTTAGATTTCATAACTCTAATTCTAAGTCTTCTGGTGACGAATTCTTATCTTGACATAGTTTTCAGATTTAACGAAGCAACTTATTGATATTCATATCAATTCGAATCATGTTCAGGATGGTTCAGTGGCCAAACGTTTGAAAGTTTCCCAATCTAAAGAAGAAAATGGAGTTTCAAAGGTAGAAGCAGAATCAAGTTCTCAGACGGCTAACAAGGGGACTGAACAAAGTAGTAAACCTGAGCCACCTAAGGATTACATCCACGTAAGGGCAAGAAGGGGTCAAGCTACTGATAGCCACAGTTTAGCAGAGAGGGTAACATTTTCTCCGAACGTCCCTTAACTTTTAATGATGCAAATATTTCTTGACAGCGGCTGAGCATAATCTTAATTTATCAGGCCAGGAGAGAAAAGATCAGCGAGAGGATGAAAATTCTGCAAGATTTGGTTCCTGGATGTAATAAGGTCAGTAATCTTTTTGAAGTTATCTATACTATTTATCTGCCTTGAGCTTATGGCTAGTGGTGGATAGTATATGAAGGGTGACATTTTTAATGTGTCTACTGAGGGGAACTACATCAATATTTTGTGTTCTCTGTTAAGATTGAATGCATGTTTCATGTACAATTTGCATATTTTGCAAGATTTAGTTTGTAACTTTCTTACAGGTTATCGGAAAAGCACTTGTTCTTGACGAAATAATAAATTATATCCAGTCACTACAGCGTCAAGTTGAGGTAGTTCCTCATCTTCTCTGTATTGAAGTTGTCCTTTTTTCAACTCAAGCCATAACCTCATCCGCTTTGCTTTGCTTTGCTTGAACTTTCCAGTTCTTGTCCATGAAGCTTGAAGCAGTCAATTCAAGGATGAACCACCCTATAGAAACCTTTCCTTCAAAAGATGTAAGTTATATGGTGTTTTTTATGATATTTTTTCCTTATCTAAGAAACCTGGTAGATGGAGTCTGATTTATGTTGATCTAAAACACAGCATGTTTCAGCTTCAAATTTTAGAGTTGATTATTGGTTGACAAATAAAAATTTGCTGGAGGTTCTTCTATCTGAATTTGTTTAATTTAGATATTGTAGACTTGTTAAGGGAGATTGAAATGATAAATACCAGTGCCAAAACTTTTGACAGTGGTAGATATGTTTCACTGTGCACTTTGTATATCATATTTTCTCCTTGCTGCAGTTGAAAATCTCTATTACCCAAAGACTGGACCTAGGAGTTCAAGAAGTTTCAAGCACCATGATTATGAGAAATTATGTGAAGGTCTATCTCAAAAAAAAAATACTAATAATTAAAAAAAGAGAAATTATGTGATAGTCATATAAAAAGTTATTGAATTAGTTGATACTGATATGTTCCTTAAGCATCCGTAGAGTGCTTGACCTCTATGCAACTATATTTCTCAAGAGAAACATGATGTGCTCTCTCTGGTCCATGTAGGAGCATATGTGGAACAAGGAAAGATTGTGCTCTCTTTTGATACGGACCTTTTTCATGTACCAATTTGCTATTAAACTCGTCCTATTCGGTTATCTCAAGGTTGTGTCAACAGGAAGAATTTTGCATTAGTGTATGGAGCATTCTACGTCCAATTGCATTTCTAAAGAAGCTTGTACTTTAGATTAAGGTTCATCCAATACAAAGTTCCTCTTCTTTGTTGATTGGATAACAGCTGGGATTTTTTTTCTCTTGATTGCATATGGTGTCTGTTCGTGTAGTTGAATTTCTGATAAATGTGCCTCGACCACTTTTTCTTGTACTTCTTTCCATGTGTTCTTTTTTTTCACCTCATCTTTTTGGGGCGGGGGAATCGGTCTTGAAGTTCATCACCATTTACAATTCATTTATTACCCAATACTGTATTCACAGTGATGATGTTTACGGTTTAGTATTGAAAGTGAAGTATTAGCTTTTTGTAGCATTGCTAGATCTGCACTTTACCATGTGAAATTAAATGATGTAATATTTAGGACAGATGTAGACATTTTCCAATAGGTTTCCATGCCATCTGGCTCCACAATAAAGTCTATGACGTACTTACTACTCTACTTCTTTTGCCCCACTTTTCAACTTTCACTTTCCCAAGTACTCTGTCCCTCTCGATCTTTTGTTTTGTTATGTATGATCTTACCTAGTTGATTATTTAGAAATTGACTACATGATTTACTCCTCAACCACGATCTGTGTTGTACATGTGTGACCTTATGCGCACCATCTTAAACTACATAACAAAACCGAGTTCTCAATTACCAACCGAACTTGTACTTAATGTTTTCATTCATGCATCAACACTTTCCTATTTATCTTGACTGTATTTTCATTATCAAGTTAATCTCTAAAATACTCACATTCCTTGCAACAGAATCTAGTGCTTGATTCTTTTCATGTTTTTGTAAGTATAATTTGGGTGGAAAGCTTCTCACCACTTTATTGATTTCATGGGACCTCTACTTCTCTTTCAGCTAGCACCATCAGCTTTTGATACGAGTGGAATGATTTTCGGCACTCAAGCACCGAGAGAATATGCTCAAGGGACACAATCCGAGTGGCTCCATATGCAGGTTGGCAACAGCTTTGACAGAGCAACATGACAGATACCCTAATGAATTGGAATATAGATTATTCAGGAACATTAGCCTCCCACAATTATTCATCATGTCTTTTAGAGAACCTTGGTACTGGATCCAGCAGCTGTGTTCCACTATAGAAGAAGCATTCTTAAATGTGTAATCATATAATCATTTCCAGTAGAATTGTCTGTATTATCGTTGTACGATCAAAGTCGTCCAACTCAAGTGTACTTGTAATATGTTTGTATTGATATAAGAAATAGACTAAGCAAACTTTATAATCTAGCTCAAAGAACAGAAATTTCTTAGTCTAGAAGCTGATAACTAGTTGTATTTGTTAAGATTGCGCGATAAATTAGAGAAAGAAAAGCAGAGGTTTGGCAGGCAGCAGAACACGATTCTTCTACTTTAAAGCAGTGGGGCTGAAGTAGCCAAACTACTATACCAGTTAGATAGATCTAAAAATCAATGGGTCTACAACACTTTTAGCTTCACTAGGAAATGTTTCAGTCAGTTAAGCAATTAATAATGGGATTCAGGAATAAGTCAATTCTGATTTTTCTTTTGTTCCTTTTTTTAGCAATTTTTTTTTTTAAAAAAAAAAAAAATCTCTACTCTAGGCTCTATGTAATGTGATGGTGTTTAAGCATTTGTATAATTGCATTGTCTCCGAGATGAATTTAAATGGAGAAACATGATCAATGAGGATTCATATAGTCGTGTCCTACTTGTTTGGTAGTTGTTGCTTTTGTTACTATTCGATTATGGAGAGCTCTGCAAGTTGATCAAACTTAATGGAACAGAATTACACAAACATGCTTTTTCTACCTGAAATTGGAAATTCAAAAAGACTGCACTAAATCCTTGCAGCATAAAGACTCAATTGCATGTTAAGTAGCAATATAATAATTGTTTTGATTTCTTAATCTTAATCAACACATGAAACATCTAGAAGAGGTGATTTTTCTTTTACTTCTTAAATCTTAATCACCCTTAGCTTAAATGCACTAATTACATTTTAAAAAAAAAAGTAAAAGAAAAAAAAGAAGCACCACACAAGTGTAGTTAGTTTCTAATTCATAAAACACAGAGAAATTAGTTATAGAACGTAAAAATAATGAATTCTTCTTACCTATTCCAAAGATGATTGCTATGAGAGAGAGACTAATGTCCTGTTTGGTCAAACTTTTGAGTTTTGGGAGATTTTTACGACTGATTATTTTTTCCCAAAAAAAAATGGATTTTTGAGTTATGAGAGATTTTTAAGACTGATTATTTTTCCAAATATGCATAATATATTTAAAAAAAATTAAAATTGGATAAAATGACAGCTGTGGGATTTGAACCCACGCCCTTTCGGACCAGAGCCTAAATCTGGCGCCTTAGACCACTCGGCCAAACTGTCACATGTTTAAATATGACGTATTAAATTTTAATAAACAATTAACAACACATAATGTATCAAAGAAATTGGTGAAAAACAACCGGACTCTCATTTAATGAGTAACTGCAAAGAACAGAATTATCTGAGCACCCAAATCATGAATTATTGTTGCTCCTTCTTCTTCTGTATTATTGATTATTATTACACAATACACACCTGAATAATCTATCTATGTAGACAAATACACAAACTTATGCTGTAGGCTTTTATTTTCCATTCTGGTTTATTCAATTGTTAATAGTTTATGGCACCAAGTTTTGCTTTGATGTCATCAATGACAGTTGCATCAATTTTGAATGCCTTAGTCAACACCTCATCAGGAATTGATGGCTTTGAAGTAAACAGTGTAGTTGGTAGAACCACTGCTCCTGGCAAATGACTGTTAAAAGCTGTGATTGTCATTGCCTTCTCCTTTCCAACATTCATTTGGAAATGCACCAGTCCTCGGGGCACCACGAACATTTCCCCTGCAGTCAATACTTTGGAATATAACACGTTCTTCGTTGTTACGAACCCAACGTAGATCTTCCCTTTAATGACTACTCCGGACTCAGTTGCACGAGGGTGTGAATGAGGTGGATTTAGCCCTCCTGGGGCAAAGTCAACTCGATTCATCGAGAGACCTTGTGTGTTTAAACCTGGGAATGAAAGAACGTTCCCCACGGTTGCACTGAATCCAAATGCATTCTTAGTGTTTCCCTCTATGGTTAGGCCATCAAAGAAGAAGTCATTTGAAGTAACTTGAGAAGCAGGTTTGCAAGGAAAACCGTTGAGAGACGTTGATGTATCGTTCAGAATTGCAACACAGAAATCCTGCAGGGGATCAGGATCAGCTGAATCAGAAGGAAGTGGCAAGACTACTAGAATAACCAACAAGAACGTCACGCGAATAGCCATGGAATGATCAAACTTGATAGAATAGTGTGTGACAATGTACCCAATGGCACAGTAGTTAAAAGGCCTATTTATTACTCAAGCCAGCATTGGTGACATTTCATCAGCAAGAAAGCAACATGCTAAAATGATATCATATATATACATAAAGAAAAGAGGTTTAGTTGGACTTTTGACAATAGATAAAGTGCAATGTCTCAACTTCAGGAAATAGTCAATCAACTTGTTAGTAAATTTAACTTGGAGATTACGACCTCTGTGAAATATTCTACTACCATTTGTCAAAGCTACGAATCATTCAACTCGTGGTTCTTCATCCTATGGTACAGCAAGTCCATAGAGACTTCAGTCAAGACTCTGTTATGGTCCGGGGGCCTCGTATCTTAATAGAGTCAAGTGACAGATAAAGGTCAAGAGAAAGGGCTGACATGCTTCTGAATTTGGAGTACACCACATATATAACACCTTAGCAATGTGATAGAATGATAAACGAGTTTTGCAAGGGCATACCCCAAAATACAAATCTGTTAAGTAGGTTGGGCCAAAGTGAACAATATGTGTCATGGGCTTGAATCATAATACGTCATGTTGTTAAAAGTTAATTCTTTCAGTTGAGTTATCTAATAGTGATGTTAATTTCCAAATATAATAATTGTCATTTCTTGAACACTTTAACAGCAACTTTTGACCTTCTAATTGCTGAAATAGATAGGAAAGCTGACTTCTTGGATCTGTAACAACACACATTGATGCCCAAATGAACATCATTGATGATTGATTAGGTCATTTTAATTATTCATCTGAATAAAATTTTATTCTACAAGGATTTGTTCCATAATTTACAGAGCAACACATGTAAATGCTCAAAGATCATTTCAACTAAACTAACCCTTTTTCTTTTCTCTTTGGGATATTTTTGTTTAATATTCATGACATTATCATCTAAAATTCATAGACTGGAAAAAGTCATGATATTGATTATGAATCTTAATCAATTTTCTTGAGATGATTACGTTGGATATTACTTTTCCATAACGTAATTAGAATACTTCATGCTGCATATAAAGAAATTTCATCTCTTGTGTTGAAATAGCATTCAGTACTACAGTTGATAGGACTATATAGAGTCAACAAAATGCTAAGAAACTGCACAAAAGGCTTGAGAGAATCCCATTAGTGCGCTTAGCCTTATTTGATTCGAAAAGATGCATTCTTGTTCAAAAATATCAACCAAACCAAACTATCAATTGTATCTAGTATGTCATGTATTTCAAAAGTTTATGAAGAAACTGATATGTATACTTCAAGAACTGTGATCCAGAATCATGAGTTTCTAAACGAAGAGAATGATCTGAGTACCCAAATCGATACTTACAAATGAATATATTTAGAATTCTTGTTGCCTTTCTGCATTATTATTACACGATACATACCTGGATAATCTATGTACCAGATGAAAATTTGGACAAATACACAAATAAACCTGACTACACAAATTTGTGTTTTAGGCTTTTATTTTCCATTCTGTTTTTCAGGTGTTCTAGTTTTAAGAACCAAATTTGGCTTTGATGTCATCAATAACACTTGCTTCAACTTGGAAGGCCTTAGTCAACACATTATTAGGAATTGGTGGCATAGAAGCAAATAGTGTAGTTGGTAGAACCACTGACCCTGGCAAATGACTGTTAAAAGCTGTGATTGTCATTGCCTTCTCCTTACCAACATTCATTTGGAAATGCACGAGTCCTCGGGGCACCACGAACATCTCTCCCACAGTCAATACTTTGGCATGTAACACGTTGTTTGTTGTCAGGAATCCAACGTAGAGTTTCCCTTTAATGACTACCCCGGTCTCAGTTGCACGAGGGTGTGAATGAGGTGGATTTAGCCCTCCTGGGGCGAAATCAACTCGATTCATTGAGAGACCTAACGTGTTCAGCCCTGGGAATGCAAGAACGTTTCCCACGGTTGCAGTGAATCCAAATACGTTGTCTGTGTTTCCCTCTTTGGTTAGGCCATCAAAGAAAAAGTCATCTGAAGTAACTTGGGAAGTAGGCTTGCAAGGAAAACCGTTAATAGATGCTGATGTATCATTCAGAATTCCAACGCAGAAATCTTGTAGGGGATCAGGATCAGCAGAATGAGAAGGAAAAGGTAAGACTACCAGCATAACCAACAAGAACGTCACACGAATAGCCATTGAATGATCAAACTTGAAATTTTAAAGAATAGTGTGCGACAATGTACTAATGACATGGTAGTTCAAGGGCTATTTATCTGTTAAGCTAGCCTTGGTGACATTTCATTTTCAAGAAAGCAACATGTTGAAATCAAATCATAAAGAAAGGAAATTTAGTTGAGGTTAGTTGGCCTTTTTGACAATAGAAAAATGCAATGTCTTAACTTCATCGGGAAATAGTCAATCAACTTGTTATTTATTAACTCGGGGATTATGACCTCTATGAATTATCATACCATTTGTCAAAGCTACGAACCGTTCAACTCATTTCTAACCAGATGTTCTTCATCCTAGCCCTTGCCATGGTACAACAGACTTCTGTCAAGACTCTGTTATGGTCAGGGGGCTCGTATCGAAAGAGGGTCAAGTGACACCTACAGGTCAAGAGAAGAACTGACAGAGTTCTAGGTTAACATGCTTCTGAATATGGAGTACACCGTACACATAACACCTTAGGCGAATAACACATCCAAATGTGAGAGAAAAGTGAAGGGTTTTAAGAGGGCATAGCCTTCCGTAAAGTATGTTGGGCCAAAGTGGACGATACGTGTAATGTGCTTGAGTTGTGATTGGTCATGAAGGAAAAAAGGGAAAAATGTTGATTAATTACCTTCCATCTCAAACATTAAGCTGAAAGTATCCAAGTCCTATTGGAATCACAACCACATTTTCTGAAGTGAGTTAGACAAGCACATCATGTCATGCCATCAGTCAATTTCTTCATATGTGAAGTGTCAAAAGATTAATCTTTCAATCGAGCTAACCTTGTTAATTTTAATTTCCAGATATAATAAATGTCAATATGTTGATAACTTGAATACTTTATCAGCAGGTTTTGACCATCTAACTTACTGCTGAAATAGATAGGGAAGTTGACTTCTTGGATCTGTAACAACACACCTTCATGCTCAAATGAACATCATTGATTAGGTCATTTTAATATACAAGGACTTGTACCAGAAACACATGCAAATACTCCAGATCAAATTAAGAAAAGATAACATCGGCTAAACTAACCCCTTTGGACTATTCTTTTAGCTTGGCTATTAGTAGAACAAAGAAAAAAAAATGTCAAATTGGAGGAAACTGGAGTAGTTAAACCTACCGATATTTTTGTTAAACAGGCTTGACATGGTCAACTAAAATTCTCAATCTGGAAAAAGTTGTTTATTAGCTTGACATTGATATGATCCTAGTCAAATTTATTGGGATGATATGTCCATGTTCGTTGGATATTACTTTTTCGTAACGTAATTAGACTACTTCATGCTGCATGTAAATGACCTAGGAAAATCTGATGAATTTACGAAACGATACATGAACTTAGTCCAGTGTTTGGTTGATAATATTCAGATTAAAGAAACTAAAAATACAGTACTATTTCAAAGATTCTAGGAAGGAACTGATATGTTCATATCCAACCTTGCCCACAAATGAATGGTTCAACTCAATTGACACACATGCTACCAAACTTACAAAGACATTCTTGCACCAAAGTGGTTCCTCTTCAGATGACATGATAGATGATGCATTTGTATTAGAGATCACAAATCACTAAGGACTGATTCCATCCCAATCTCTATGATGATGCTGTGATGAGAATTGTCCTGCAGCTTGTCATAAGAGCAGTTTTCTCACTGGCAAAACTCCAGCGCAGCTGGACTAATAGGAATCACACCAGAAGGTGATACAAGTGCATCCACAAGAACGTCATTTGGAGTTAGAGGTATAGTACCCTCATCCACTATTTGAACTGAGTAAGAAAGTGCAACTGCGAACAATAGTGAAAAGTCACTATAGAAAAGCAAAATTTATTGTATTTATCCTGGAAAGAAACAGACAGAGAGACATACCTTTGAGCGGTTGCTTCCAATTTCGCTTCTCGGCAAGCTCTTGATATCTTGATAAAAAGGTGTCATAGTATCTGTTTTTGTCAAAGCATGAAAAAAACAAAGGATCATCAACAAGAGGATAAAAATGTAAATTTTAGTAACGAGTCAGAAGGGAAACCATGTAACTGCTCTTCTTGTTATTTTGTTATTCCTTTTTTCATTAACAGGTCACTCTTCTCTTCCTTTCTTGTACTTCTTCCCTATCTTATCTTAATCAAATCAAAGCCGTTACTATTTTTTTGATAAAGAATCAAATCTGTTACTTTTGTAGAAGAAATATAAAGAGACAAAGGAATAAAACCTACCCTCCACCGCGGCCCAACCGTCTTCCAGCTTTGTCAAATGCAAGTCCTTCATGGAGAGAGAGTAAACACATAATTTCCAAAAGCAATATATTTACAAAATTATTTCAAGCTCTTTCACAAGTTAATGACAGACATTAATGTACTTACCAGGTAAAATTAACAAATCAACAGGCTCATTAGCGAACAAGACTGCAAAAACAAAAAGTATTTCAATTATTAGCATTGAAGTCCACAATCCTGCTTTAGATTTCACCTTTGAAAAAAAAAAATGTATCTACCAACAAACAAGTCAAAGATATTAGCTGCAAATCCAAACATAACCCGCAAGATGTATCCATTACTTGGTTAATATTTTAATGAAGTAGGTCTAAAAGAACAGCAGATGCTCTTGTTTGGATAAGTGTAAAATGTGACACTTAGTTTCAACAACAGTACAATACAAGGGCACACGAGGAAAAGGTATCAATTCCAGAGATGAAGTTCTTCTAGTAAACATGAACCTAAACATGTATTACGCTCTTTTTTATCTTATACAAATGAACCTGGAACCTGCTATGCCCCTTTCCATTTGTCTCGGGCATATTACAATCTTTGAAACTCCTCAATCAAAGCAGCCAAAATTCTTCAATGCTTTCACCTTTTATTATTCTGTTCATGTGTTGCCAGTGATAGACAATTGCTCTAGTCGTGCTGAGGCACACCCAAAGTGTTAGACTATACATTGAATGTGTTTTCCTTCAAAAAGTTTGTCAGATAGCCATGAGTTTGGGGAGTGGAAATTGCGTTCACAGAGCATATCCTGTAACCAACTAGTTTGGCTGGCATTTAATATTTAAAAGGAAGGGGCATAGTTTCCAAAGGGAGCCTCTAGCAACTACTATGTAATTATAACAACACAAATGAGAACAAACAAAAAACACATTCATTTTAAACAAGAAACAGACAACTACATCTAACATGAGGTGTCCAGATAATTTATTCAAGAAATGCACTTTTCAGAAGTTATTAAAACATAAAGCAAGGATATCTAATATAGTAACTACCATTAGAGGATTTTCTGAAACGACACAAATTTTCACATTAAAATACAACGCTGGGACAGAGAATGAAATTGTTCCACAATTAGAACTTACTGAAAGTTGAAATTAAACAATTTGATTATGTGCACTACCTATTATTACTGCAGTCAGAACAGTTACATGTAATGACCCTTATTGTCATTTTTAGTGTTTTATCTTCTGTACATCGTTTAGAGCGTTCCTATAGCGCGTTCCTATAGCGATTCCAAGTCATTTATGACTTGCTGGGACTGACAGATCGGTCACCGGTCATTCGTTTGGTTATTGTGTGAGTTTTAGTATTTTTGGAGCTTATGAACCTTGAACGATCATTCTCGATCAAAAGTTCAAGAAGATGACATCAGAATCCAATTCTGACGATTCCATCAGTTCCGGAACATTTTAGTCTAGTAGCATTGTCGACATGACTCCCTAAGTTTTCAGTGTGAGTTGGTGGGATTAGGCGTTTTAACTTTAAGTTTAAAGGCTAAGTTTGACTTTAGTCAACTCGCTCGGATGAGAATTCCGTCAGCGCGGTTAGCTCCGGAATGTCGAGTTTGGTCTAGTTTGACCCTTCTTTCGGGTTTTGAGGTTTTTGATATTTTTCCGAGTCCTTTTGTGGTTTTTGACTTAAAATGGCCAATGGAAGTGGGACCCACATTTTATCGAGGTGACCTTTGATGAAAATTTCGACTGCGCCTTTGAGTCCGGAATGTCGACTTTGGTAGGGCAGCATATCCATTTTATTTTTATCAGGTTCCGAACGAATTCCGAGCATCCGTCGGAGACTTTAAAGAAAGTAGGCAAAGCTGAATCTGGTGCAGCCCCTATAAAAACCCAACTTTCAGCTTTGTATCTTACTTTAGAATCTTGATATCTTGAGCTATACAACTCCAAATTGGGCGATTCAAACGGCTAAGTTGTGAGATTTTTTGAGGGCAACGCATTGGTGAGCTTGGAATCTGATTTGGGGACCCGATTTGAGGTAAATTTTGGGTTTTAACTGCTGT